AGACGGCATGGTAGAACGCATGAACAGGACGATGGGAAGATATCTGTCAAAAGTTGTCTCCGAACATCAGCGGGACTGGGACCAATACCTGCACCTGTTTCTACTTGCGTATAGGAGTTCTGTCAACGAAACCACCGGCCAGACTCCAGCCAACGTAGTTTTTGGCCGAGAGCTCCGTCTTCCATGCGATCTGCAGTATGGATTGAAGCCGGATGAATGTGTGGTTGGCGAGGACTACGTATCGGATCTGCGGAAGAGGATGGACGAGATACATGAGAAAGTTCGTCGCAACATATCTGGAGCAAGTGACAGGATGAAGGAGAGGTACGACGTGAAGGCCGAGAAAGGAGGGTTCACACCTGGTGATCTCGTGTGGCTACATAATCCCCGAAGGCTATTCCTTCGAAGGTTATTCACCTAAACTCCAGAACTCATGGGAAGGACCCTATGAAGTTATTTCCCGTTTAAATGACGTCATCTACAGGATTAAGAAACAACCAAATGGCAAACCAAAAATAGTTCATTTTAACAGGCTTGCACCCTACAAAGGAGATCACGGCCAACAAGTTCGGAACCTCTCAACCGAGCCAAGAGACGTCGTGCCTGAGAGACATGGAAATGAGGGACTGAGGTTGTTATACAAGGACCTCTTCACCTTGCCAGTGGAATATGCCTTGGCACACTGCGTAGCAGAAGACCTGAGAGCGTCGCGAGGTATAGCCACAGTCTTCAGGAAAAAGTTTGGAGGGATCGAAGATCTTGAGCGTCAGAGCCCCGCCATTGGCACCACCCTTCACCTGAAGCGCAATGGACAGCATTTGTTCTACCTCGTTACGAAGGAAGCGTCAAGCCAGAAGCCCTCCTACGAATCGTTGAAGAAGAGCCTGCAAGACCTGCGAGACAAGCTTCTTCGGATTGGAATCAACAAGCTTGCCATTCCAAGACTGGGATATGGTTACGACGGACTGGAATGGAAGACTGTAAGAAATATGGTGCAGGAACTTTTCGAGGACACTGGCATCGACATTGTGGTCTGCGTATACAACCCATGGGGAACCGGACACATTATTGGTCCAGAAGATCCCAAACTTGCAGAGAAATCTGTTCTGGGGCAGAACAGTCTTAAGGAGGGGGCAGTGTTACAAGTCAGGAGCCCCGCGCAACAATAGCCAGGCGCCGTATCAAAAGGGTTGTTTGTTTACACGGGTTTCTCCGTACGTGCCAGTGAAAGACAATAGACCCATGTCAACGGACTACGTCAATAGGGTCTTTGACATCCACTAGAAGCTTCCACGGTGATCGGTAAACAGCTTTGTTTGGGCTACTAGGTGCCTCCAGAATGTTCCACGGCAAACTTATATAAGGGACCGTCTTCCGGCACACGGCAGTTGAGTTGAGTTGAGCCTTCCGGGAATCGTCGCAGCAAGCGCCCGTCGGTGTTAGTGACCAGTGCTAGTGCTAGTGGCAGTGACAGTGAGAGTAACAGTGTAGTGACTCTAGTGACAGTGTAGTGACAGTGTTGTAACAGAAGTGATAAATCCTGTAAAGGTTAGCTGTAAGTAGAATCATTGTAAATAAGAATAGGCTTTAGCTAGGTTAGATAGGGTTAGTTAGGTGTTAGGTAATTCTAATATCTGTAAATATAGAATAATTAGTGTAAATAAATAGTTATTATAAAATCGCCAAGTTTTTAATGTAAAGAACCCGTTAAGCCCGCAACAGTACGTATTTTATGTGAGCAAGACGGCACATTAAGACTTTGAATATGTACTGCAAACCCTATTTGAAGTCTACAAATAGGAATTCCATTAATGTAAACCAAATATAACACTCATAGTTTCGATATACTGCAATAATTAGACAATTCGTTGGCGTGAACCCGTTGTATCATTGACTTTGAATACTGCACATAGACATCCCATATAAGTGAAGCAGAAGTACGTCCAAGCCTACCATTTACAATTTACCATTTACATAGTACCTTTACCTTTACCGGTTCTTCATCGTTGCCCAGCCATAGCTGGATAGATTGCGTTATGAAAAATTAAAACTTTGACTATATACACTATATACAAGGCGGTGGATCATGACTAAACCATGACTAAACTGAGTCAGGGGTTTCAAAAAATTCCCTGGTTGAGTAAAGGCAAGGCCGCACTAGATATACACGTGCTTCAACTCCCTAGACATGTGCGCTACGAACGCTTTAACTGGTAAGGCCTCTGATCTCAACACTGAGACTAGCTTTATGACCAGAGTGGGGAAACTATTTAGTATTTGCAGTCTTACTGAGCCGATGGGATGGAAGGTCAATTTGGCTCCGCACGAGTGTTGCAGCTATGAAGGTCACCCATGAAGCTAAAATCATTTAAGTTTTTCTTTATGTGTACAACACTGTTTAAAACGTAGGGTACTGGGTACTGGCTGAACAATGTCAAAACTCTAAACCGAAGTACTCTTCATGTTTATACAGGCAAGCCTGGGTTAGAGTACGTAGTTTTTAAAACACACAGGTTTTTTATGGATGCAGGCAAGAAATTGTACATTTTAACACCTTGGTACTCAAAACTATTTTGAGTGGCTGTATACTTGCCTTAGTGTAGACAGATTATCTTTTGATCTAGTACAATAGTTGTGCACATCAGATATCTTTTCAAAGTGAGAAATGTTTTCTTTTACATACAACAAACTTGCCAAAACATACAAAGATGGATAGCTTGTCGTAAGGTGGGATATACAGGGTGAATAAAAAGTCAAGACCCCCCCCTCTAATATTTTTCCAAGTAAATATACAGAGATATCCTTTTGGTGGTCGAGCAATCTTAGCAGGAAGTTTCATTTTACCATTTTGACATTTTTGATTGTCCCCCCAAAAGGGGGAATTTGGGGGACAACTAATTTTTTTAAATGTAAACCCCCTTCAAGTGACACCTCATTTTGAAGTGTTTACAAAAACTTAAATAATAGTGAAAACTAGAGGTCGCTATCTCTTCTCTATCCAAAATGGTAGCCCGTCAAATGTTGTGGAAAATCAATGGTAAAATTGTTAATATTGGCTGCCATTTTGGATAGAGAAGAGATAGCGAGCTCTGGTTTTCACCATTCTTTAAGTTTTTGTAAACACTTCAAAATGAGGTGTCCCTTGAAGGGGGTTTACACTTAAAATTTTTGAGTGTCCCCCCAAAAGGGGGGATTTGGGGGACAACTAAAAATGTTTCAATAGAAACCCCTATCAAGTGACACCTCATTTTGAAGTGTTTAAAAAAACTTAAAGAATTGTGAAAACCAGAGCTCGTTATCTCTTCTCTATCCAAAATGGCAGCCAATATTAACAATTTTACCATTGATTTTCCACAACATTTGACGGGCTACCATTTTGGACAGAGAAGAGATAGCGACCTCTAGTTTTCACCATTCCTTAAGTTTTTGTAAACACTTCAAAATGAGGTGTCACTTGAAGGGGGTTTACATTTAAAAAATTTGAGTTTCCCCCCAAATCCCCCCTTTTGGGGGGGACACTCAAAAATTTCGAAATGATAAAATGAAACTTCCTGCTAAGATTGCTCGACCACCAAAAGGATATCTCTGTATATTTACTTGGAAAAATATTAGAGGGGGGGGGGTCTTGACTTTTTATTCACCCTGTATGGTCTTCCCACGAGAGCTGGCTGTCCATCCAGAAACCTAACAATTTGACATTGAGTCTTCGATGGAACTATGTTTTTTTTAGAGTAGTCTACAGAGGTTTTGGGCCTTAGAACCATTCAGCTTAAGCTTATTCTGCGCATTGACTTCGGATACTGCAATTAGGCATTTTATTTATGTGAACAAAATAAATAGACCATTGATTTAGGATACTGTAAGTAGACTATTCATTTACATGTAGCCTACCATTGAGTTTGGATACTACAAGTAAACAATCCGTCTACGTGAACCAGACGTACCATTGACTTTAGAATCTGTAAATAGGCATTCCATTTATTTATGCGAACCAAATATATCATTGGCATTGGATACTGCAAGTAGACATTTAATTTATGAGAACCAGATGAAACTTGAATGAAACTAGAATATGGTTCCTGTAAGTAGACAATTCATTCACTTAATTCTGACTTATGATTGACTTTGGATACCTCATGCAAATAGGCATTCTAAATGCGAACCAAATATATCATTGACATTGAATTATCTGGCTCCGCTCAATATTGCAAGCAGACAACTGCATTGTACACCTAGTTTTAATTTTGGATGATATCATTGACTGATGCTATCGAGGATTCTGCGAAAAATTTTAGAATCCTTTCGAGGAAAAAAAGAGGATTTCCGTCGTTTCCCGCGGGGAAAACCAAAGAGGTCGGTTGGCAACAGTGCTTACTGGACAGTGTCATACGTTACGTCATAATGAGCGGTGGGGCACACGGGAGGGACTAAGGCTAACATATCTTGTAGTGTCAGCGTTCGCCGCTAGAACCGCTAAGTTGATTTTTTTACTTTTAGTTATAAAATTAACTTTTTGATTATAAAATATTGTTTTAAAATTATAAAATAAATTTTTAATTTTTAAAATAAAACTGTCATAACATAACCTAACCAACCAGACTTGCTGATAATATAAAAACTGTATAAGATAAAAATCTAATTAATGATTACTTCTAATTTTTAATTAATTATAAAATTAATTTTAAAATTTAGTATTATAAAATTAAACTGTCATAACCTAACCTAACCAACCAAACTTGCTGATATGAAAAATTTGTTGACAATAAGTTAGTGCTGCCAGCGGGATTCGAACCCGGGACCTCCTGAACATCAATCCGTAACGCTACCAACTATGCCACGAACGCCGCTGAAATCACATCGTTTCGTTACGGTAATCGTGTTGCCTCAAGAGAAGACATTAGCCACTAGAGATATGACGTCACTACACCTTTAGCCTTAGTCCCTTCCGTGTGCCCATTCCCATAACCATACCTTCTGTCTGCTGTGTTTCTGCTGCTGCTGCTGCTGCTGTAGCAATAGCAACTAGCAAGTGGTTCGTCGAAGTGCAACTGCAAATTGGATGTTGGATTGTTATTTTATTGAGTAATGTTTCTTGGGATGCTTGCTTATGTAACTTAAAACAGGAAACTTCAACCAGTTCTACGCCTAGCCGACAATTACTGACGTCAGCTCAGTCGCTGGAGACAAATTGGTGAACATTCAATTTCACCGAACGTGTGCATGAAAACTATTCACAAAGTGATTAGTTTTTAAATTAATAAATCGCGAGTCTTTCAAGGATTGTGAATAACTTAAGTCATTACTATATTTTTCCTTTATATTGCCAGTTTTAGAGTGAAAAGAAAATGGTTGTAAAAAGTGGCAGAGCATTGCATTTTGTGTTTAAAGTTGCTGATCGTGCTGAAACAACAAAATTTTACCTTTCAGTATTGGGAATGAAGGTAAGCACATTATTTAATGTCAGACTAGGGTACAAAACAGTTTCTTAACAGGCTACGCTAATATCGATTGAAACTATTGATTCGATTAGTAAACCTTCATTCGATTTTTTCATTATCATCAGCAAGTTTGGTTAGTTAGGTTAGGCTATGACAGTTTCATTGTAGGCCTAAAGGGTAGGCCTAATTGAAATTGTTCAGTTTTCAGAACTCACCTAAAACGTCCTATGAGTTAAAACGTTTGGTACAAATTTAGGACCCAGACCCCAGCTTAAAAACACTTTCCGAAGTGTGAAATTGTGTTTCAAAATGAAGTTTTGGAGGATTAATGGGGGAAAAGCAATTCCAGTCCCAAAAATTGACTGTAAGTTAATTTAAGTTAATAAAACTGACCCTAAACAATAGTTCCTCCAAAACCTCAATATACACCAATTTTACACAATTCCACACTTCAAGAATGTTGGATTCACTATATCGACGTGAAAAATTCACAAGGAATATGCACTCGACATATAATTTACTGCTGTCTCACTCAAAGATAACCAAAACCGGCACGCACGGAAAGCACCATGTCTTGGTTTGCCGATAGTCAACCAGCAACTAAGTTTAGCCTACAACAAAAATTAAAATCACTTCGTCCAACAAATACATATTGATAGGTATCCACATATTTCACCAGGAATCACTCCGTTTCCTACATAATGTCTAACGTGATTTTCCGACACAATCAGAATGAAAATTAATCACAAATTTGATTTACGTCCTCCTTTGTCACTACCGGTACTTCAATTTGAACTAACAACATGGAGTCATGGAGACAGTTGTAAACAAACAACTAACGAAGAAACCACCAGCCAATCAGAGAACTGCACGATTACGAGTATCACCACTCACCAGCTGTTTCAGTACGGATACTGAATTAAAAGTAAATATTTAATTTATATGCTACTGATATGGTGGCAATTTTCACTGTAGGCCTACTTCAATTACCCCTAGAATTCCCTCATTTTAACGTTTAACCCTCCGAGTGTTATGTGTCGAAAAATCGACACATAACACACTTTGTGTAGTGTTTTGTGTCGATTTTTCGACTCACAAACACTGTTTACGGCAAAGGCTCTATGACTGACAAAATCGGATTGAACTGGATCGAGTTAGGTATCGTTTTATTTGGCAGATTCTAAGCTTTCTCCCGAGGTCTGTCTCTAAGCGCTTTTTTTTCTCGAGGTGATCATAATTGTAGCAGACAGCTGACAAGCGTATTTGTAAACAGCTTGGTTAACCTCACACTGATGACTGATGTGTTTTATTACCTTTATCATTGTTTTAGTGTTAAAAATCAAAAGTAGTGATATACGTGGTGCATTATAAGAAGATTTAAGTGATTTTGAAGGGCTGGTTGATGATCCTGAAGAAGTAGGTACCTAGTGATATTGATGTAAATTATCAGCCAGATTCCAACTAGGAGCTATGGTTAGGCTACTTATGCATTCTTAGCTAAACGCTATGTACTGAAATCTGTTTTTTGCCCATAACTTATTTATATGCAAATCTACTTCCTTAATATTATTATATATTTGTAATCCTCATAAAATTTAGAACAAAGTGGCTATTTTCAAATATTTATAGGCCTATAATTTATACAATTTCGTTGAGCGCAAACTTATTTTTTTGTTGAAAATTTTCCAAAATATTTTTTTTTACCTAAAAAATTTTTTTGAAACAAATGTTTCTTATGTTTTATGTATAATATTGAAGCCCATGATTTTCCAAATAAAATGGTATATAGAACAGTATAATTAACATTGTTTTTAAGCTTCTCAGATCCGTTTTAATAAAACCTTGTGCAAATGCGCAAAAAATAGGCAAACATTAAGGCCAAAACTAGGGACACTCGGAGGGTTAACCTGAATTCCCTCTGTATTCCCCGTAAAATCCCGGTTGCAATAATGAGATGAAACTGTTGTAAACTAACCAAACCAACCAAACTTGCTGTATGAGTTCATGAGGAAAAAATAATTGTTGATTATTAAATGAAACTGTTCTAAACTTACCAAACCAACCAAACTTGCTGTATGAGTTCATGAGGAAAAAATAATTTTTGATTATGAAATGAAACTGTTCTAAACTAACCAAACCAACCAAACTTGCTGTGTATGATTTCAAGAGGAAATAATAATGGTTCATTATGAAATGAAACTGTTCTAAACTAATCAAACCAACCAATCTTGCTGTATGATTTCATGAGAAAAAAATAATTCTTGATTTTTAAATGAAACTGTTTTAAACTAACCAAACCAACCAAACTTGCTGTATGATTTCACGAGGAAAAAATAATGGTTCATTATGAAATCAACCTGTTCTAAGCTAACCAAGCCAACCAAACTTGCTGTATGATTTCATAAATCGGTTTTATAAGAGAACTCGTTACCCAGATACAACAAAACAGTAAAGTACAAACCATGAAGCTAAATAACAAATAAATAACCCTATTAATAAATCAGATTTTGTAGACACCAGCGCCAGTGTCACCAACATGAATAACTGTAAACACAATAAACGAGTAACAACTTGTGTTGGTTAGTTCCATAGATATGTTTATTTATTTATTAACCCTCCGAGTGTTATTTGTCGCTGCAGCGACCCACAAACACTGTTTACGGCGAAGGCTCTATGACTGACAAAATCGGATTGAACTGGATCGAGTAAGGTATCGTTTTATTTTACAGATTCAGAGCTTTCTCCGGAGGTCTGTCTCTAAGCGCTATTCATTTTAGTTCCAAAAATATTGTAGCAGACAGCTGACGTGCGTATTTGTAAACAGCTTGGTTATCCTCGGACCGATGACTGATGTGTTTTATTACGTTTATCATTGTTTTAGTGTTAAAAATAAAAAGTAGTGATATACGTGGTGCATTATAAGAAGATTTAAGTGATTTTGAAGGGCTGGTTGATGATCCTGAAGAAGTAGGTAGTGATATTGATGTAAATTATCAGCCAGATTCCTAGCTATGGTTAGGCTATGCATTCTTAGCTAAACGCTATGTACTGAAATCTGTTTTTTGCCCATAACTTATTTATTTGCAAATCTACTTCCTTATATTATTATATATTTGTAATCCTCATAAAATTTAGAACAAAGTGGCTATTTTCAAATATTTATAGGCCTATAATTTATAAAATTTCATTGAGCACGAACTTTTTTTTTTTTTAATTTTCCAAAATATTTTTTTTTTACCTAAAAATTTTTTTTGAAACAAATGTTCCTTATGTTCTATGTATAATATTGAAGCCCATGATTTTCCAAACAAAATGGTATATAGAACAGTATAATTAACATTCACTCGCCTACGGCTCGTGAGTAAGTATTTCTCTCGAGTGTTTTCAAGCTTCTCAGATCCGTTTTAATAAAACCTTGCAAATGAGCAAAAAATAGGCAGACATTAAGGCCAAAACAAGGGACACTTGGAGGATTAATTCCATACTCCTTGAGGAGTTTGTTTTCTCTATGTATTCGTAACATATGTCTGCAGAAATATCGATATATCGTTTCTAAGTACAGTGAAAATTGCCACCATATCAGTAGGCCTAGCATAAATTTAATATTCTAAAATATTTTTATTTTCAATATAAACAAACATGGAAATAGGCCTAGGTTATGATCTGTTTAAATATGTTTTATTGATGTTTTGAATGTAAAAATTCAGTTAAGATCGGTGTACGTTTTTAATGAACTTGAATGAAATAAAACTATCTATCTTCAAACAAAAGAAGACTGAAAACTTAACTTCACGTTTTTAGAAGTAGGCCTAACTTAAGGATAGGCTATTCATACAGGTGATAGATGTTAAACCACTTTTTATTGACCTATTTAAATATTTTTAAAGCTATTTTTGACTAAATACATAGGATAAAATAAAGAAACAACTTTATTTTTACTTTGTTATTGTTTTTATTTATATCATATGGTACAATACAATTCTGATGGTCTTCCTGTATCTGCCGGCTCTGCTGGTCGTTGTCGGCGGCAAAGGAGAGTACCCATTTATACAGACTAATTTCCCATTCCTGCTGGGTAATTAGGCTACCTACCTATAAATAACCCTTTGACCTGTTGAATTACCCTTTTCTCCACATTATTAACCATGTTTTATCTCCCCCACCCAAAACCCCGAATTCCCACCGGCCCCCTAGTGTGTTGGGATTATTGTATATATATTTAACTAGTAATAAAAGGAGGCCTCGGCGCCAAAAAATTCTTTTATAAAGTTGTGTAGGTAGTATTGATGTCCTAGAATACCATAGTTCAAAAGATTTTAGAAAGTTTAAGCTGGATTCTGGGTCCTAAATAAATACCAGATGTTTTTAAACTGTTCCTAGTCACCAGCACTACAACTTTCTCAAATGACTTTTTGGTCGCCGACAATTCCTGTAGACACCATGCCTAGATTACTAGACACCACCCCTGAAAAACTTGCTTAAACATCGTGACAGGGCAGTTTACTATACTATACACCCCATCAAGTTACTAGACACCACACCCAGATTACTAGACACAATTACCAAGATTAATAGACACCCTACCTAGATTACTAGACACCAAGCAAATCTTACTATACACCGTTACCTACATTACTAGACTCCACGCCCAGATTATGGTTAGGTTAGGTTAATCTAGGTAATGTTGTCTAGTAATCTAGGTAATGGTGTCTAGTAATCTAGGTAATGGTGTCTAGTAATCTGAGCGTGGTGTCTAAGTGCTAGACAGATTGCTCAATCTTGGTAAGGTGTCTAGTATATGAAACGACCCTGTCACGATGTTTAAGCAAGTTTTTCAGGCGTGGTGTCTAGTAATCTAGGGAGCGTGGTGTCTACAGGAAGCATCGGTGACACAAAAGTCATTTAAGAAAGTTGTTGTGGTGGTGTCTAGGAACAGTTTAAACACGTCTTATAGAACGTTTTAGGTGAGTTCTGGAAACTGAATATTTACCGATGTTGTTAAAAATATTGATTCAATTGATATTAGCGTAGCCCAGTTAAGAAACTGTAGTTACCCGGTTAGGTTATGAGAGTTTCATTTTGCCTAGTTAAAAATATTGGTTAACCGGTTAGGTCGATCGATATTTTTATTTGGTTGCTTGTGCCAACAGATGTAGAAGTGTACCCAATATTAGCATAACTTAGCCCACTTAAGAAACTGTAGGCCTACCCGTCAGACTAAGTTTTACCGTTAGAGTATTTTTATGCTACACCTCGATAAACATAAATAGTACAGGACTAAATGATATATACTAAGATAGTAATTAGATATATAGACTCTATCGGTTAAATAGAAAGAATGTTTTAACCCTTTGCGGTAACTGTAATTATGTCTCCCTAGTGTCCTTTGAGGTATCTTAGGCCACTCTTAGTGCCCAGAATTCCACAGTCAAGTATTGGCGGTTAACCAATGGCGGGGGCCCCCAGATGTCCTTCAGATACGTTAGACCATTCAGTGTGCCCACTAGCGATATGCTCGAACGGTCTCTAGGTCACTCATAGTGCCCAAGGAAGTTAGTTCATACGGTTTTACAAATATATCATTCAAGCTAACTTAGTATCTAGCCGTCTGTTTAAAATAATACAATTTTTTCCCTACCCCTTGAAATTTGTCTTATAGAGGTTTGACTGTATAGGTATTCTAGTTGTAGTGAAGTGAAGTGACGTCATTAACCTTATTGCTGATGACAGAATCAAGATTTAGTTAATAAAGCCGTCACTTTCAGTTGCTTGGAGTTTAAAACAATCAGCTGTAGGACAGTTCATTCAACTTGTAAATGTCATCATCCGTGCTTCCTTGTTTATTCAAACGTTCTATATTTGAACAACGATATCTTCTTTACTATTCATTTGCGGTGAAAACTAATGTTATTATTAGATTCAGGAGGTAAAAAACTATATTAAATCCATGTAAAAGTTAGTGTAAATCCTAACTTCTAGGCCCTACCAATATTTTATTTCACAAACCAATATCAAATTGATGTTTCAGGCATTAAGACATGAAGAATTTCAAGAAGGATGTGATGCTGCTTGTAATGGGTTAGTACAAATTGTTTAAGCATATATAAATATGCCTGTCCAATCCTTTTATTAAATTTCTTCTTTTTGATGAGGATAATATAAATGCTAGGTTCTAGGCGACCGGTACAAAAAACACTGCAAACAGTCAGATATATCCGACCCTCTATTGGTTAAATTTTTATTTTTACTTGGGTTCTGTGTGTACCCCAAAGTTTTAGGTCAAGCCAAGCTAACAGTTTGGCCTAGAGTAAATAACTTTTGGGTCAAGCTTGGGTTGGGTTATTTATGTTATAGGTGTGTGACTGGCTTGAATTTTGAGCCTGGTGATGTTTGCAATCTTATTAAACCTATGCAGAGATTGTGCGATTAAAAATTCACGATTTAATTGCCATTACGGGAGATGTTCACTAGGATATTTATAGGCATGCACTGTGGATGCGATACTCCCTGGTGTGGATTAACGTCCGCACGGGTGAGTACTACGACTATCTGCAGTACTATCCTGATAATTAGACCAATTCGTAATTACCAAGGCGAAAATGTGGTTCGGATTCCACTATAAACTGTAGGTCCCTTAGTTGCCATTAGCTGTATGGGCTATTAATTAACAGCTGTGTCTAAGGAATGTCGGCCTTAGTCACTAACAAGACTACAAGATCGCACCACTCATCCTACACTCATCTCCATTCATACTTGGCTTAAAATACCTACTTTGTATGGTCGCCATTTCCTAACAGTATTAACAGATTTGACCACTAGATTTTTGCAATATCTCAATTGTGGTATGATAATTATTTGTATCTAGAAAAATATATTTTGTATACATTTTTCAATAATCAATATTTTTCAATAAGCTATTCATTATATTTTTCGAAGCAACCCAATTTTTAGGCATACTTGTCCTGATTTTGGTCTGAGGACTAAGACACCTCGCCATTTTAGGTAGAAGAAGTGAAACTGTAGAGAACAGTTAATAAAATTCACAAGGTTTTCCTTTATGCTGTAGTTTTCCAGAACTCATCTTTTGCATTAAGTAAAACTAAACATATACCTAAGTGCTCTTTTATGGATTCGATTACCTGAACTACCTACCATAACCTTAAACCTTAATGATTGGTGAATGAGTGGCTCAGTCGTTAGTGCAATCAACTGTAGAATTATTGCAGCGGTGTCATGAGTTGTAGCATTAATGGTTGAGGTCCTGGTTCTCGTCACTACATTTTATCAAAGTACAGTTGACTTTTGCTTTGCTGGATGCGTTCCAAGCACGGGCCCAAGATCCCTGTGGACGGGTGCACATAAATGCAAGGTTATAAGGGGCTAACAATCACTTGTCTTACAAAATTATACGCCAATCAATGCAATTCAATTAGTTTATTAACCAGTATCAACCAGTTAATATTATAGACTTGAATTAGTAGCCTACAAGCATTTTACAATTGACAAGATGACATGTATTTTCAATCAAAATCCAACTAATCCATATACAAAGTGTTCATTTTTTATCAGAACAGTTTTATTTGAGTAAAAAAACCTTTTTGATAAAATGTTTAATACAAAACACCCTTTTGGCCAGCACAAAGTTAAGTCCAGTCACAGCAATCATAATGAGTAAAGGTTTCTCTGTTGCTGATGCTTGCAAGAAATGTTTGGGCAATTATTCCGTATGTTTACACTGGGAAAAGATGTCATTTATTTTTATGTCTTCCTACAGTTTTTTCACACTGAATCCACAAATGAGATAAGTTTTTGTCGGAGAAATTCTTTAAGTGGCTGTAAAATTAAGGTTAAAATTACAAATCTAATGTTTATTGAACAGTACTGATAGTAATATGGCGTGGTCTGGACACCCGTATGTAGGCTCAGGACTGAGTGAAGAGAGCAAACAGCTGTTTATACTCGACTTAATGCAGATTGAAATCAATTCATTTTGAAACTAAATATTCAGCCCTTATTTAGGCATGTGGGGAAGGTAAGTCGGGTTTTATGTGGATTTGTGACTGTAAGTGTATTAAATTTATATTACACTAGCTGTTGTACCCGTGCTTTGCAACGGGAAGAGAACACAAAATTGAAACATTTTTATCTTTACATATGGTAATGAAATAGTTACGCATAAGCCTTTAAAAACAAAATTTAACCTTTATGGCCTTTATAGGATAGATTTTGTCATAAATGTAAAAAATAATAGTACTGCACCCTAAGCCTTGTAACTTTTTAATGCTATTCAATATCATAGAACCAACTTGTGTAGTTGAAACAGCTGACAAAATTCTTTTATTCCTTTTAAATATTATTATACATAAGGTTAACATGGGAAACTCCAGAGCCACTGGGGCGGAGCCCGAAAGGACTTTTGAGATAAGAATGCATCCATATATGTTAATTGGGAATGTGAGCTATCATCATACCAAATTTCAGCCCAATCTGACGAGTATTTTTTTGCGTTTACTTGTCACAAACATACATCCAAACTTTCTCATTTATAATATTAATAGGATTAGGAAGTAGTGGGGTCGTATAGCTTCATATGATGGCAGAATATTTCAGTTCTGGCAGAGAGGCTGCAATTTTAGGTGGTTATAGTATACAAGTTTCTGAACCTAAAACCACCCAGACCCCAATTTTTAAGGACCTCGGTCATCCGTAATGACGTCATCAAAATGGCGGCCGTAAGAGGATGCTGGGTCCCCATGAATTGGCTATAATGACCGAATGCCTGAACCGATTTTCATGAAATTTGGCACACAAGTGCTTGAATACATTATCTCGGCCTGGGTTGAAAATGGTCAAGTTTCATCAAGTCATTTCAAAATGGCGGCTGTTCAAAACTAAAAAAAATATGAGGAAAATAATTGTGAATTGTTTTATACAGGGTGAGTTTCAAAAGAGTTCCCCCCTACTTTTTTATACATTTCGTAAGATATCAACTCCGAACCAGGTCAGATAATTGTAGAGTAGCGAGTACTTCATTTTGACTGGGTTTTATTTTATCCGTTTTTTGTTATCAAGCTTTCTTGATAAAATATAACAATTATTTTGATTTAAAATGTCAATATTTCAAAAACCAAATATGACAATGAAAAACGGATTGCGGCATTTAATTCAACATAAAAAAGTAGTTCACAATGATGGGTCACAACACCACCTTCATATTTAAAATAATTTATCACACTTCAAAATGGCGGATCCAAGATGGCGGCTGAAAAAAATACATCCGTCATAACTGAGTGAAAATAGGTCAACAATGAATGGTGGTGTCCACTTATCTTTATCTAGCACTATTTTGAGATTATGACCTTAGTTTGTAAATGCACAATGTTATAATGGACTAAAAATAAAGTTATAAAAGTTCTCATAACTTTAGAATGGATCAACATTTTTTTAAACGGATTGCAGCATCGTATTCAGCGTAAAAGTCTTGTTTGAAACGGTGGGTCACAACCCTACCTTTACATTTGAAAAAATAATTTTTTATCCAAAATGGCGGATCCAAGATGGCGGCCAAAAATTTAAACCCAGTCAAAATGAAGTACTTGCTACACTAGAATGATCTGACATGGTTTAAAGTTGATATCTTAAGAAATGTATAAAAAAGTAGGGGGGGAACTCATTTAAAACTCACCCTGTATAAAACAATTCAAAATTATTTTCCTCATATTTTTTTTAGTTTTGAACAGCCACCATTTTGAAATGACTTGATGAAACTTGACCATTTTCAACCCAGGCCGAGATAATGTATTCAAGCACTTGTGTGCCAAATTTCATGAAAATTGGTTCAGGCATTCGGTCGTTATAGCCAATTCATGGGGACCCAGCATCCTCTTACGGCCGCCATTTTGATGACGTCATTACGGACGACCGAGGTCCTTAAAAATTGGGGTCTGGGCGGTTTTAGGTTCAGAAACTTGTATACTATAACCACCTAAAATTGCAGCCTCTCTGGCAGAACTGAAATATTTTCCTGCTACCCAACCTGACTAAAGGTAAAGTTTAGGTTATAACAAACTGACTCATCAATTTATGCTACCTCCAGACTGCTTCAGCACAATCGAAATAGTGGGTGAAACAACAATATCAAAAATTCTTGATGTTGGAGTTTTGCAATGAATGTTGGTAAGGTTTATACATTTTAGCGAACTTCCCTATTTGGAATTAGCGAATTTCCCTATAGGAAAGTAGCTATTACTGTAGGTCTCATGGTAAGACTTGAGCCCGGAACCGATTTACTTTTTCATTTTGATGTCATCAGAGGCCAAAAACACTATTCGTTCAAATAACTTGAGTAATTTTGTTTGATTTTGATTAAATTTGGTTTGAAGGTGTAAGGTGGGATAAACTTGAATGAGTTAGTGAACCAGCAAGATCGGCCTATGGGAAATAGGTTTTGCAGGGGGTTTTATGGGGTAAAAATAGGTTTTTCTCATTTATGACCATCAAAAGACAAAATTTACCAATTTCTATCTAGACCATTAGAGCTTTAAATGACAAATAATTAAGTTTTCTGAAGTGTTTTGTGCAATTATTAGTTACGGAGAAAATTCCAAAAAATTAAATTAAAAATTCCCATGTTATTCTTATAGAGAATATTGTAAAATGTTGTAGTTTGCTTGATTATGGATATATTTAGATCAAAGTTGGCAAATTTATTTATTTTACACTAAGCCATTAATATTTTACTGGAAACACACTTTATTGGCCTCCCTGTAGCAGCAAACCTAGGTACCGTACTCGTTTAACCAAATGTTATTTAAATAGATTTAATTGTATATAAATTCAGTCAAATGGAAATTCGCTTAGTCTGCAGGTTTGCTGCAGCGGGGTATTTATATTGTAATTTTGCTTGTTTTTTGGTTGGAAATGATTATTTAAGTTTCATAAATATCTTTTTTTGTGATCTCAGTTAAGATTGTAATATTTTTTGTACTATTTCCCATGGTGCCTAAAGTTACTTATGGTCATTTGTCCTGTGAACTTATCTTGCAACTTAATACATTCCTATTGTTTACTTTGCAATCACTGTGCATTTTATTTTCCTATATTTAAGTTTTCTTTACTAGGTACTTAAGTAGGAAGTTTCCATAAAGTATTTATATTTTTAGGCCTTACGACAATCGATGGAGTAAGACAATGGTAGGATACGGCCCAGAAGATACCCATTTTGTGGTAGAGCTCACATACAATTATAATGTTCACAAGTATGAACAGGGTAATGACTTTCAAGGAATCACAATCAGATCTCGTGAAGCTATTGAGCGAGCTAAAGCTGCTGGTTGGCCAATTAAGGAGGAAAACGGAGTTCACGTTGTCGAAGCACCTGGTGGATACAAATATTTTCTGTTAAATGAACCTCAGCCTACAGATAAAGGTAAATTCAACTATGCTTCTTCTGTTGATAAAAATTGTGGTTTGTTAATTGATATGTAACTGGATAAATTCAAGTGGAAATCAATACCTATTTAAAAGTCAAACCTGCACAAAACAGTGCAATCACTACTATTTCCTCTATGTATTTTTATACCTATTGCATTTTTTAAACTTTGTAAGGTAACGGTCCTAACCCTAGTATTATTTCTATGTAACATTGACCTTTTGTTAGATATAAAATTACTATCAAATGATAGACTAATGAAAAATGGAATTTGATCTCGGTCCAGAATCCTACCTGGGATTGGGATTGAACTAGAAAAAACCTAAGATTTGAAGGCAAGCAGAATTGCCACTCCTATGCCCAGATAATTATCCCCATATCGCTTTAATAATACAGTAGACTCCCTCTTATCCAGACTCCTCGGGACTGAGGCCAGTCCAGATAACGGTTTTTCCAGTTAAACCTACGTCCCCAAAAACTCGTTAAAACGGACTGTTTAACTGTATCCGCATACTGTATACAGTATTTGACTTAAATTTAGGAGAGCATTGTATTTAGATACGCGATCACTGCTCTCAAGTCTTTCCTACGAGAACAGTCGTTTCAGTACCCCCACTTCCTGCCGATCTAGTCCGATTAAACCGATGTGCTGATAAAAATTGTCCGGTTAAAGAGATGTCATTTCCGCCAAGTGCAGTCCGGTTAAACCGATGTTAGGTTGAAAGGTGTCCGGACAAGAGGGAGTCTATTGTATGACAAAGTATATACGAACAGGCTAATCATGTTACATAACGAGCACTTGTAACATTTAAATAACATTAACCCCACCAGTTAACATTTTTATTTCAATGGAAGAGATTTAAACATTAATCCATGCTACTATTATGTGATGACAATCACTTTCATTTCGGTTATTGTTGTGAAGATACCGTGTTATCATCCCATTGATAACACACAAGTGCTCACACTAATCTAAAGGTGTCACTTACCACCTGCATGCTCTTCAAGTTATGTAATACAGATTTAAATCTCAGCCTTGTAATTGACCCTTGTCATCTACCTTGAAAGATAAACCTCAAAAACTTAATTCCGACTGTAATCTGATTGAGAACCTTATACGTAGGACTATACTTGAGGACGTTATAAAGTTGGGATTAAAAAGGTTTTTTGTGTGGGTGTTGCAATTGATTTTAGAGTGGGTGGTGTTATCATGCCCCAAAATGAAACAACATTACAAACAAGAGTATAGCAATTCCTTGATACACCATAACTAGTAGCCAAGCCTACCTTTGTCTACATGGTAAACATTTAGAAAAATAAAAGAAGTTAAAAACATTATTGCCTAATCATTATCAATTCTTAACTGTGATCAGTTCAGTTTGGAAAACTTGTAAACATCAGTTTCAGTTCAAATAATGTGTGGTGTTAAAAATTTTACACTGTAGCAATTTATCCCAGTCAATATAAAACTACTGATCAGCCAAATATAGTAATAACATTTACAAAATAACAACATTGTAATAATTAGACGACAGTCTCATTTCAAGGTTGATAGAGGAGTAGTCTGAGGCTGCTATAATTAGAAATCTACTAGCAGAGTACCCGTCCTTCGTACGGGGTTGGCGTATAAGTTTAAAATGCTTATTGCAGTTATACTCAAGCTTTGCGTTTGCAATGGGGGAGGACAAAGTTTGATAAATTTTGCTTCTTTAAATTGACTGTATACTAATGGTATTACACATCTACCATAGCCATAATGTTCTACCACTTCACCTAAACAATAAAGAAAAATAAATTACTACGAATTCACAAAAAACCACAAATTATTCATGACACTAAAAACATAAACATAACTGTAAACAATCCTCCTTTGACAGTTCTCATTGCATATCACAGTTTTTGTTACTGCTTAATTCAAATTAGTTGTTTACATAAATGAAATAAAAAATTTTAGTGCTGCACCCTGTTGGTAAATCTTATAACTTTTTAATGCTTTTGTAACTCATAGAACCAACTTTTTTAGTTGAAACAGCTGACTAAATTCTTTAATTCCCATTAAATATGAACTAGTAGAGCCCCGTCGAAATCGACGGTTAATCTTGGTTTTATGTAAATTCAGCTAACTGCGATAGATAGAGTGAAGTCATTAAAATCGTAGTTAAATAAAGGGAGGATAAACATAATAATAAATATGACGATTGTGTTCTCTAAAAAACGTGATTGATGAATTCGTTTAACACAATATTTCCTACCTTTTTATCGGCTTTAGGTTGCCCAAAAGGTTTTTTAGGAGTCTTATAATTGTTTGTTCATGAGTTTGTTTCATGTCAAAGCCACTTTCACTTTATGGGAGAATGAGTTCATATAATTAGTCTATCATGTTACGGAAAGAGTTAATATTTATTACTAACAACTAATTCAATCTGCTTTAGGAAAATCATTCAGATTGTATCCGGATTTATAAGTGAATCTTCATCTTTGGTCATAAAAACACAGAATTTTATCAGCATATTAAATCTTTTTTTTTTGTATTTGATAAAAATATCTGATTCTCTAGAAAGCAGTAAGATTCTTACTTCGATCTAAGCAATTGTAATTCCTTCTCTTGCCACATCGACCCATGTATTTAATCATCCTGTTCTTACTTGATAATTCATTAACTTATGGGATAGTTTTGCCTTGGCCAGATCGATAACATAAAGCTGTGCATGTATTTCGTGGATGGAATGAACCATAATTGTAGGAAATTTTATCACAAATCTTGAACATTTGCGGAACCAAATCCATAACCTAGTCCAGCCTTGGTAACAAATTATGCAAATGCGATTAGATGTGATGACACTGTTGTGTTTCCGAATGCTTTGTATGTAGAGAGGTTTAGATGCGTTGTTACATGTGTACAGCAAAGTAAAAACCCTGTACACATGTTTTTAAATACCTGAATTGACATTAGTTCACCTACTTCACCAAAACCATAGATGAAACATACTCCGTAGTTAGTCTATTCCAAAACTTGAACTGAGCTCTCATCCTCAACGTACTCATCTATGACACAATTTTTAACCCGATTGTCAAAAACTTTTATACCGATAAATGAATTTCTGGTGTTCTTTCTTAAATTAAAAATTAAATGGTAATTGAAAGTAGGGAAAAAAGGCAAGTTCCAACCTTACAATATAAATATAAGCTAACCCGATAAGGAATAATTATATATTCCTTTTAAATTGATATATCACACTTATTTCATAATTAAAAAATTTCTAAGAGCAATTAAGCATAGATTTTTGAACAAAACATTTAAAACGTATCATAAATTCATCATTTTGTTGAAACTATAAAAAACTTGCCATGCAGTGGAGAATCCATTTAAAATCATAAATAATAATGTAAACATTTAATTTTGGCAGTTTCAGTAGACCTTTGAATACAATTTTAATATTAACAGCTGGTTCATTAAAAGTAGTGTAAAATTATCCATATGGTCGTAATGTAAACAAAATTGCTGAGTGAACTTTAAAGGCCTCTGGGGCAGAGTCCCAAGGAAATTTACCTCGTTTCTCTTTTGAGGGCTCACCTACAGACCAATACCTTTCTTTAGACACCCCTACCAAGTTTCTACACCCAGCCGTTCTCTCAAATTAGCTGTGACAAAAACCCCGTTTTCCTCCATAAGAATAACATGGGATGGGACTTTAAAGGCTACTGGGGCAGAGCCCCTAGGGAATTTACCACGTTTCTCTTTTGATGGCTCATCTACAGACCAAGACCTTTCTTTAGACACCCCTACCGAGTTTCTACGCCCAGCCGTTCTCTCAAAATAGCTATGACAAAGAAAAACAGTTTCAAATTAATATATAGATACTCATAAGGTTAACATTAGGAACTAAAGATCCACTGGGGCGGAGCCCGAAAGGATTTTTGAGCTATCATCATGCCAAATTTCAGCCCAATCCATCCAGTGGTTTATTCGTGATTGAACTTCAAACAAACAAACACACAAACTTTCACACCTATCTATCTATATCTATCTATCTATATACTATTATAAAGAAGAGGTGGTGTCTGTGTGTGTGTTTGTATGAGATAATCTCAAAAACTACTGAACCGACTGGGCCCAATTTCACAAAAATGAAGCTACAGCTCCGAGGATACATATAGAACTATTCCTGCTTTGATATTGTCTTAGGGCTCTGCCCCGTGGGCTTTCAAAAATTTGAGGTGAGAGATTTAAAAGTAAATATTGATTGATGGTATCCATAGTAACAAAGAACAAACCTACATAGTTTAAAAATGTAAACAAGCAGAACTAACTGTCATATGAATTTTGATTTCACAATTCCACACAGCTGGTTCAAACATTTATTTAAATACTGCACGAATATTAGAACAGAGAGGGTAAGGATCATATTTAAAATAATGATGTCACTAGCCTAAATGTAAACATTATTTAACAACTTAAATGGAGCTGTCAAACAATATGTTAATGTTATTTCATTATAATAGGATTCATTCAGTTACATCATTTGTTTATGTTTATAATTGCTACGCACCATAAAGCTTTCTATAGACTTTTCATTAACTTAGGCCCACAAAATTCCTATGGCTATTAAGTTAGCCCACATTGAACCCAAAGTCATTTCTTTCCTAATAAAGATAATTCCTAATTTGTGTTTTATTTGATTGAATTAGCTACAGGGTAAGTTAACAATGATGGTAAATTTTCAAAATGGTGGGGTTCCAAAGTGGATGAAAAGATTCTCTAGGCTTAGGCCTATATTGGGTTGGTTTCTTCTTAAGTACTAATTAATATTCAAATAGATGACCTCTTAATCTCAGGGAGGGGTGGTCGTGCCGGTTCGAATGATATATTAGGCTTCTTTAAAATGTTAAAATGTGTAATGTATGTCCAAAGAAAGATTCCAAATGGTTTCACTGAATTTAATGAAATAAAATAAGATTTGAAGATTAAATTTTGAATAAAAGTTCAATTTGAAATATATATATCTTGATGAGTTAGGTTAATTGGGCCTAGTAGGCTATGCTGATTAAATGTCCAATGAAGATTAAATTTGTCCTTAGTTAAATAAGATGGATGATGGTTACCAAATTTGGAGTGTCTGTCTTCTTATAAATTGGTACTCTTCAATGCACTTGTCCAATACTTTTGGATGATAAGAAATTTAAATTTTATGTTTTACTTTGGGATTATGAATTTTAGTTTAAATTAAACACAATTTCCAATATAATGATGTTCACACTGTGAAGAGTTGGCAGGATCTGGGCAGAGGCAATGGTAGAAGCTCAGGAAGTCCATGTCCATTGTTGAAGTGATGTACAGCTGGTTACATGAATGACACTTGCCACAGTAATTTAGATTTTCTTTGGATAATTTTGAAAAATTATACTATATTTGAGATGTTATTATTATATTGCAATTTTCTTACAATTGTATATTATTCTAAATAAATGATTATTGTTGGTTTTTGATGAGTACTTAATAGGTATAGAGAGAATTTGCATAAATATTATATTGTAACATATAATTTATTTTTGTAAAAAATTACAACCGACTTCAAACGCTCTAAAAAGAATGAAATAATTTAAATAAAGTAAACTTTTGTATTAGGCAAGCTCACGTATTTCAAGTTGGCGCGACTCTATGATGATTTTTGATACAAAATTGAAAGAGGGTGTCCATATTGCAGGTGACTATCTATAACTAAAGGTGTTAATCTGCATGTCTTTTTCATAGTTATGCGTTAAGTGTTATTTTATTACCGTAATCAGAGATCGGCCAAAATAAAAGAGAAATTAATGTTAATGATGAATGAATGACATGTAATATTACAAATTATCCCCACAGAAATCTGTATGCTATGAAATGAAATACAGATTTCGACAAAATATGAAATGGAATCATGAATCATTAATATGAATGATACTTAAAGATAGGTATGAATAACATTAAATGATTGATTTTCTGGATGATAGAACATTGGGTGATAATACAACAAAATTATAATCTAAGTTAACAAATGTGTAGGACAATAACATTAAAATGGGGAAAATAGAATAGAGTGTTCATGGCCTGGCATGGGAAGAAAGGGATATTATGGCTGTTGTTCCATGTTGTTCAATATCAAATAACTTTATTGTTTCTTTCTTATTAAGGAGATCACAGTTTATTAGTAAGTGAGTATTGTTTATAAACTTTATCACCTGGGTATTAGTTTATGGAAAACACAATTCATGGGGTCACGCACTCGCGATTAAGGTCCATGGCACAATTTGGTTAGAGATGATGATGCACAAAAGTCTATTGATGGATGAAACACATTATGAAATTTATTAATATACAATGTCTTCGAAGGTAGGGTCATCATTATCTATCTCGTCGATCAGAGCTTCTATTGCTCGGGTTGGTTCCAAATATTTCTTGAGGGCTGATATATGGTAGGGGCCGTATAAAACATCTTCATCTTCTTTTAGCTGATATTTATTTAATAAACTGCTTAATGTTTCACGTTCTTCTGCGGTTATGTGCATATTTGTTGCTAGGGAATTATCTATTTCTTCTTGGGTCAATGTTTCATCTTCGATTAAATCTGTTTTTCTATTTTTGAAGTTATTTATTGTGCTATTAAATTTATTATATATTGGATCATCGTGATATACATCAAACGTTTCATCATTAAAATATTCATTATTTGGCCTATGGCTATCATTAATTATTAAGTGACATTTGTCCCTCTTGGTTGCACATACAAAACTTCAAAGTAACATTGTGATTATTTATCTGCATATCTATTTCATTTGTGTTGAAATTCAGATCCATTTTAAGATTAGACAAAACATCTACTCCTAATATTATAGGTTTTATTAGATTTGGTACAATAAGATATTCCAATGGCAAGGTGTGTTCTGCAATTGTGGTGGGAACGTAAATAATTCGAGAGACTCTTTTAGATCGCTCATTCGTAGCAGTTTTGATTACTGTATTATTAACTGGAAATTCTTCAAATGGTGAAATTTTGGATTTGTTTTCATTGAACCAGGATTCTGATATACAAGTTATTGATGAACCAGTGTCGACTAATGCGTTTACTCTAATATTATTAAGTTTGATGCTAATTTCTGGGCAACTTATTTGAGTGAAATTTAGAGATTGATTATTTTCTGAATCATTTTCTAATAAGAAGTTCTTATCACACATTATACTTTGTGATTGAAGATGATTTATTTCATTACCGAGACTTTCATAAATAGGCGCTGTAATTTTAGAGTTAACTAATGATAATTGACCCTCTCGGTTGTCGCTTACAGCGCCGAACCGTTTTCCTGTATATTTGGTGCAGGATGAGTCTGTGGCTCGTAACTGTGTGATGATTGGTTATTTGGAGGAGCACTAGGCATGTAATATTACATAATCAATTATACTGTGTCTTTTAGCGAATTTCCCTATAGGGAAGTAGCTATTACCGTAGGTCTCATGGTAAGACTTAGGCCCGGGACCGATTTACTTTTTCATTTTAATGTCCCCAGAGGCCAAAAACACCATTCGTTCAAATTTTTATATATGTATATATATATATATATATATATATAGATTTATATATATATATATATAGATTTATATATATATATATATGTGTCCGTGAACACGATAACTTGAGTAATTTTTATCCGATTTTGATGAAATTTGGTTTGAAGGTGTAAGGCAGGATAAACTTGAATGAGTTCGCGATCCAGCATGATCGGACCATGGGAACAGGGTTTTATGGGGTAAAAATTGGTTTTTCTCACTTCTTACCCTCAAAACACAAAATTTCCCAATTTTTCTCTAGACCTTCATAAAGAGCTTAAAAAAACAAACAATTCAGTATATCAAAGTGTTTTTGTACGGTTATTGGTTACGGAGAAAACTAAAAAAATGGTAAATTTAAAATTCCCATGTTATTCTTATGGAGAATATTGTAAAATGTTGTAGTTTGCTTGTTTATGGATATATTTTGATCAAACTTGGCAAATTTATTTATTTTATAGTAAGCTATCAATATTTTACTAAAAACACACTACTTTATTAGTTTCCTTGTAGCAGCAAACCTAGGTAGGCCTACTCGTTAAACCTAATGCAATTTAAATAGATCAATTGAAAATCTATTCGGCCAAATGGAAATTCGCTTAGACGGCAGGTTTGCTGCAGCGGGGGTATATTATAATATTTGTGATATGTAAATAGCATATTATTGTAAACAATTACAATAAAGTTGAACATTCTCAAAAAAATATGTTTGTTGTTTATAACCTTGTCTTAGTTACATTAATTTTAAAGACCATTATATATGAAATTATTAATCGACTTAGGCCAGTGTGTGAAACAAATAACATAACTTTGTTGTTGATATAAACAAGGTGATTTGAACTATATTTGAATTAATAAAATAAAGTTGTAAGGTAACAATATTTTAATCTGTTATACCACTATTACTTTGTATAAATCAAGTTTGAACTATAAAAAGTGCATTTAGGTTAATTATCTATGTTTAAAAAAGTTGAATCAATCATACTAACTGTACGTTCATGGAACACTCAGCAGCGGGGGCCGGGCGTGCCATTGTGCATCTATATCCAAACCGACCAATCTATAAAATGCAAAAAAATATTATGATAACATTTGGTTTATTAGCTCAAACTTTCTCACACACAAAACTAACCTGACCGAATAAAAAAAGTAGCAGGCGACTAACTTTTCAGTGTCGCACATGCAATCTTAACCCAACTTCGTTTAGTTACAGCATTTATATAAATTTGTTAAATAAATATTATATACTTTTTTTATACAATAGGCTTGGCCATAATAATTCATTTTTCCTAAATATTAAAATGTTATGTCCATTGTAAGTGATGTTTGCGGTGGTGTTAATGAGCCGTGGCGTGGCAAATTAAATTTTGTGACAGTAGCGCACAGTGGCTCAGGTGAATACGCCATGAAACAGCTCGGGAAACAGCTTTATCTCCGGTAATGCTTTGGGGATAGGGATTGCCAGTCGATGTTATTCTTTGGTCGCTTGTTTTACCTCCCTCTTACGATCTGAGTGATCCAAGAGTGAGTGACCTCAGGATCTTCCAACATCCAACCGAAGGTACGCTCGATTTTGTAGGCCGTCTTCCTCGCAGTGACTTTAAAATGCAGCTCAATAGGAGTAAGGTTGAGAAGGTAGTCCAGTGAGGCTCCCTGGCAGCTGCTCATTGCACCCGTGATGATGAGACAGGCATTAGGGCCGTAATTTTACGATATGGTGGATATTCGCAGACGAGTCGGGTATCGGAATTGACTTTGAATGGTCAATTCTAAACTTTACATTCTGTACATTTCTATACCTACGTGAATTGTGTCAAGACAATAATTAAACATAATAAATAATTATACATTTGGCATATTTGCAGCACTAATTATCAAGACGATTAATTCTTTTTAATTTTCTCCCTTTACGATTTATTTAAATTTTTATGGTTTTTTTGTGTATTGCGACTCACTTAGAGCCATTTGACAACATTAAAGTTGTTAGAGGCATTTTATAACATTTTTCTAAGGGCCCAATGGGTTATGGTTCAAACCCTAGATTAGTGGCCAACACAAACCATTGCAGTTTCTTTGACTGAAAACTATTATTACAGATCCAGTTGAAAAAGTTACCCTCTCCAGCTCAAACCTTGCTCGCACTCTGGCTTATTGGAATGAGATCCTTGGACTCAAGATTTTCTCTAAGGAAAATGACAAGGCTCTTCTTGCTTTTGCAGAATCTCAGGCTAAACTGGAATTCAAGGATATCGGTGAGAAATATTTTTAAAATATTAAGAAGTACTGAGTTTGTAAAATTATTGAGAACTTTAAGATTTATGAATTTGTTTCATCACTATTTTAGTCTAATAAAATGTGTTATTTAAGAGAATCAATCTTTTTCCAGGTAAGCCTGTTGATCATGCAACAGCGTATGGACGCATTGCATACTCTGTGCCAAAAGCTGAACAACCAGTCATTGATAAGAAGATCCAAGAGACAGGAAACAAGATCTTAACTCCTCTCATCACGCTGGACACTCCAGGCAAGGCTTCAGTCACCGTCATCATTCTTGCTGATCCAGTCAGTATATACATCATTGCATTTATTTAGTATTCTGATTACATTTAAACTGACTGATTCTTTAAATTGTGAACCATCAATGCAATTTGTTAGATAATTTAAACTATTATAAAATTGAGGTGGTGTCTGTCTGTCTGTCTGGGTAGCTGTCACAACTAAAATAAAATACTAAACCGATACAGCCAAAATTAAGCACAAATATGGTCCACATATCTTGGGAATGTCTTAGGCCTATTCACTTCTCACTATTCACTCTTGATTTGAAATTAAATTAAATGAACATTCTTTATTTATACAGGCAAATTTAGGACCACATGGCCCTCTCTTACACTTAACAAGTGGATAAAGATTTAAACTAGTGATGGGTCGGTCGTCAAATGTCGGTTCCACCGGCTGAATGCAGGCTTGGCTGTTTGTGATGTAGCCATTTAGTCTCATCCATCAAAAAATAAATTTAACCCGTCGAACTTGAAATTTGAATTAGTAGTCTTGTGCAATGCACAGTGTTGCCATTTGTTACAGTGGTTACTGATCAAATACAATATGAGTCATCAAAATCATGAGTACCCCAACATTTAACCATTGGATGTAAAAATAACTGGACTGGACTGAGTCAAACAGTTAGAGTAAACTAGAATGAGTTTGAGGTTCGAGTCCTACTCTCATAGCTATTAATGCTGCTTCTTTATTTCCATAGTTCCTACAAAACAAAGTTAAAAATTAACAGTATGAATTATAAAATAATCTTGTAACTTGTAACTATTATTAATCAGATAAGGAAAGGATGGTTTTAAGTAAGGTAGGTCTAGTCTAGTGTATAATAATTTTACGCCATACTACACAGTTTTGACGAACTTCCCACGCAAGGAAACAGTCCAGAAAACAGCTGTTTGCCGCCAGCTTAATCAAAAGGGGTTTCATTACGTACTACTGTGCTGTAATGATACTGGGCACCAACCAGCTGATTATACTGTATTTAGCAATGAGTGGTTATAAACTAAAACATAACCTCTCTTAGATGTTATGACTAGTGGTTGTTAGTCCTTAAGTCGGTGGTAATATATAAGGATTTGTAGTTTGTACAGATTTATTAGTGTGGTGTAAAATACCGTACGTCACTCGTACAAAATGTGTTTACCGGACTCTTGTGGTAATCCCATACTTGACATCGTCTCGCACGGGAACGACCACACTCCTCTGGTACGACCACAAAACCTATTTTCAGAACTAGTAACGTAATATACTATTGTTGAGTCCAAATGAATCATTTATTTGATCCAATCTTTATCAGGTCTTTATTTCATTTATACTTTTGAACCAATCCTGTTAAGTTTTAGTTTACAAAAGTTAAACTGATTTTTGAACAGACAAATTTTTTGGAGTGGCTTGGCTTTGTACAAATGTGTTTAGTTGCAATGGCGAGTAGGATGCACATGCACTCAAGAACCCTTCCCCTTCTCGCTTTTATCATTTTGTACAATCATTTCAACATGGTGTGACTTCCGGTGTTGTTAGGAGGCTTTCCCTCATCCCTCCCACACACCGTCCTGATTTACAACATCTTGATTATTGACGTATATACAGTCCACTCTCTCGGTATTTCAAAAATTTGATAAAGAACACTTAATATAGTTCAAATTGAAAGCTCAGTCGGTATATCTCTTAAATATCTAAAGTTTGACAGTGCGTTTGTTTTGATACACTCAGTATTTTAAAGTCCAAGCATAGGGCAGGTCGATTTTGAATACAGTAATTCAAAGTTTTGTTGGCAGAACTCAATAATTTTAAGGGATGGAGGTGGATTTATAGATTTATTCTAGCCATAACAAGAAACTATCGATCCTGTTAGACACAGTAGCTCCGGTGTTAAGCTAAAACCGTAGTTGAATCGTCTGGTTGACAGTGTTTGCTCATTGTTAAAGCCGCAAAGCCCAGGTGATTTAAATGCATCCAGTCATTAATTATACTTTAATACTTTAAATGAAATGCTCCTCATTTGTAGAACAAGAAACTTGAGCTATTTCTGACGCAATGTCAAAGATGCAGCCGCTTGAACAAAGGCATCATACAAATTACAAAAGTAACCTTCCGTATCAATAAATTTAACTCTTTGTAGTTCAAAATGGTTTCTTTTTCTCTCAATAAATCAAACCCCTTGATAATTCAAATTTATTGGCTTGACCCTCCAAATAATAATTATTTAGAATTATCAAGAGTCTTTTAGTGAAAAGAACCTCATTTAAATAGTAGAAATACCTTAAATAAAAGTTAGAGGTTTCCACTAAATATTATTGTTTATTTGTAGATATTAGCCCAGACACCTATTTATTATCAGTATTTTTACTTTTTTCTTTTTTGGTAGCCTAAGGTGTCCAAAATTCTTATCTCCTGCGAGACGCGTTTCGCATTAATTACAATGCATCTTCAGTCGCTGTCACAGGTCTCAACATTGCCCACAGAAGTGGTTGTCACAATTTACAAAACATTTAACACAGTTCACAAAACACATATTTATATACAGTTTTACGACCATGGTCACACACATACTGTACATCAAGCGAGCGGGAGAAGACACGCGATACCGCACAAGGTTGTAGGCCTACTCTTGTAGGTCTACTCAAGAGTAGGCCTACAACCTTGTGCGGTGTCGCGTGTCTTCTCCCGCTCGCTTGATGTACAGTATGTGTGTGACCATGGTCGTAAAACTGTATATAAATATGTGTTTCGTGAACTGCGTTAAATGTTTTGTAAATTATGACAACCACTTCTGTGGGCAATGTTGAGACCTGTGACAGCGACTGAAGATACATTGTAATTAATGCGAAACGCGTCTCACAGGAGATAAGAATTTTGGACACCTTAGCTACCAAAAAGGTAAAAATACTGATAATTATTGTTTAATTTATCATACTTTTAAAAGTAATAAACAATTAACCCTCCGAGTGCTAAGTGTCGCGTAATCGACGCACAACACACCCGCCGTGGTGTTATGCGTCGCTTTTGCAACACATAAACATCGTTTATGGCGAAGGCTCTGAGACTGACTGAATCAGATTGAACTGGATCGAGATTGGTATCGTTGTTTTCGGCAGATTCTAAGCTTTCTCCTGATTTCTGTTTCTAGACGCTTTTCATTTTAGTTCTGAAAATATTGTAGCAGACAGCTGACGTGCGTATTTGTAATCAACTTAACCTTGCACCGATGACTGATGTGTTTTATTATGTTTATCATTGTTTTAGTGTTAAAAATAAAAAGTAGTGATATAGGTGGTGCATTATAAGAAGATTTAAGTGATTTTGAAGGGCTGATTGATGATCCTGAAGAAGTAGGTAGCGATATTGATGTAAATTATCAGCCAGATTCCTAGCTATGGTTAGGCTATGCATTCTTAGCTAACGCTAAATGTACGAAATCAGTTTTTCACCCATAACTTATTTATTTGCAAATTTACTTCCTTATATTATACAGGGTGGTAAAAAAGTCCCTGGACAGTTGAATATTTTAAAAAAATAATGCAGATAGAGCTATAATACTTGGTACAAAGTTACAGGGCATAAAACTCTATTTTAACACATATTCAGTGATCCAATAACCCTTCAGGGGGACGGCCCACAAGGAGTCAGAAGAAAATCTTAAACGGAAGCATAGGTCAATATGCACATCAAATTAAAGGTCTTTTTTTGTAGAATACAATGCCGCAAACCGCACTTCAAAAGGTTGATCCTGCGCAAAATGGCAGATGTTCAAAGATTTCTTGAATCCGCCATTTTAAATCTTTGAACGACTGCCATTTTTTACTCAGGCATTCTTTTGAGCTTGAATTTACGGCATCGTAATCTACTAGTGAAGACCTTTAATTTGATGTGCATATCGACCTATGCTTACGTTAACAATTTTCTTCCGATTCTTAGGGCTGTGCCCCTGAGGAGTAAGCGTATAATAGCAATGTAAATTAAATGAATCTTTGAACAACTGTCATTTTGCGCAGGATCAACCTTTTGAAGTGCGGTTTGCGGCATTGTATTCTACAAAAAAAGACCTTTAATTTGATGTGCATATTGACCTATGCTTCCGTTTAAGATTTTCTTCTGACTCCTTGTGGGCCGTCCCCCTGAAGGGTTATTGGATCACTGAATATGTGTTAAAATAGAGTTTTATGCCCTGTAACTTTGTACCAAGTATTATAGCTCTATCTGCATTATTTTTTAAAATATTCAACTGTCCAGGGACTTTTTTACCACCCTGTATTATATTTCTGTAATCCTTATAAAATTTAGAACAAAGTGGCTATTTTAAAATATTTGTAGACTTATGAATTATAACAATTTATTGAGCGCAAACATAAATTTTTTCGTTTATTTTATAATTTTTGAGAAATGTTAACCTAAAACCTAAAAATTGTTGAAATTTTTTTGTAACGTTTTATATATTACATTGAAGCCCATAATTTCCCAAAGAAAATGATATATAAAACAGTATACTTTACATTGTTTTTAAGTTTCTAAGATACATTTTAATAAAACCCTGCAATCGCGCAATAAATGGGAGGACATTAATACCATTATAATGGACACTTGGAGGGTTAATTGTTTAGAGCAAATAAAAATGAACCACTTTTGTTGGAGAAGCCTAAAAGAATGTCTCTTTGTTTATTTTTCTCTTCTTAGCAACCAAAATTCAATAAAACTAAAACTATTTAAAACATCTGTCAGCTGATAGATCTGTCAGCTCACTACAGTCTAATGTAAGTACATACAAGTTAGTTTACAAGTATATAATAACAAGGCTTCCTTGCATGGTATTGTTTCAGGATGAACATGAAATTTGCTTTGTAGATGACGAAAGCTTCAGAGTTTTGTCAGAAGTGGATCCAAAAGCTGAAGCATCTCTTTACAAATACATTGAGAAAGATGAAAAAAGAAGAAAGGTGTAATGAAATTCTTCACTTCCTCTTTGGTGGTGGACTGGACTTGGTACTTATTGTGATATTTACTTATTGCTTTCAAACATTACACTCCAAAAACATTGAGAAAATATGTTGTTTAAAACTATTGTAATACTTGTCTCTACTTTCTACAATATTATATAATAATGTTATCCTACATTAATTATTATTTTGTGCTTGTTAAATATATATATTAGTTTTTTAGAAAATTCACATTATTTACCGTATGTACCCAAGTCTTTTACATAGTTATGAATTTAGTGTTTATTTTATAGATACAATCTCTAAGTCAATATGTAATTATGTAGTGGAACAACTCCATATCTATAGCCCAAAACCTCGTTTTGTTGACACTTATATTATAAAAATACCTGGTCTTCACTTCCAAAGACAGACTCAAAAGTCTGTTCCCTTCCCACCTCCTAAAGTAATGAAAATTTAATATGTATTTTTTGTTTGGTCATGAAACTTAAATTAGTGAAAAATGTGTATATATTTAAGTTTATTGTCATTTGGAAATCGACCACAAAAGATTCCTTACACATGAGGTTCTTGAACCTTTATAAGTTAGGCTCATAAACTTTGAAACATTATTTTCATACTTTAGAGTTATTTCTCTTCCTTATACAAAAATATGTCTTGTTTACATGATAAGTTAACATGACATAATTGACATGGAATTGAAAATATAAGAAATTATAACTTATTTGGAGTTTACATCAGATATATGAAAGAAACAAGATTCTGTATTTAAAAACAACACCCAAAATAAAAAAAAATAAATAAAAAAAAAACTAGGGAACCCGTGCTGCTCAATGAGTTGTATAGTATAAAACAAAGTTGAGGAAGCTTTGTGTTTGAAATAACACATGTAATACTTTGTAATTGCTCGAATTTGAGCAACAGGTGCACTAGTGTTCTGTGTTAAGTGATAAATTAATCAAATTTTTGCTATGATACTGCATTGGTTTTAATTCATGTTCAACCCAATACACTGGTAAACTATTTTTGATGGTCCTGAACTTCATCTATTTTCTTGGCTACAAATTTTTATATCACATGGGAAGTCTATTTTGTGTATAGTCAATGGTAATACAGTTTGCGGCAAAATAATCTCCCGATTTTTGTTGCGTCGTGGTGAGTAGTGGGAGACACTTAGGGGGGATGGCGGCTGTCGACACCAGTCGCCATTATGGCGTGGACGAATGAAACACAAAGCCTTAGCGGTTGAAGCGTTCATTCGCAACAATGAGTCTGTTATACTCACAGCGTGCTTTTCGAACGCGATATCAAATTTCTCTTCGTGGATCTGTACCGGACAGAAAGACTATTCTTTTGTGGGTAAAAAAACTTCAGGGAGACTGGTTCAGTTGTGAAAAAACGGGGTGGAAGACATTGTAGTGCGCGTACACCTGAAAACATCAATGCTGTCAGGCAGTCAGTGTTGCAGTCCCCTCAATGATCAGCTCACAAACACGCTGCCGCCCTTCGGATGTCTGACCATAGTGTTCGTCGAATCCTTCACATGGACCTCCATTTTCATCCTTATAAGATGGTTTTTGTGCAAGAACTGTCTCAACGAGATTGACAGTTGCACGGAAGTACATCTTGGAACGACTTCCACCAGACGCCATTGTGTTTTTCAGTGACGAGGCACATTTTCATTTGTCTGGCAACGTTAATAAGCAAAACTATCGTTATTGGAGTCAAAACAATCCCAATGAAATCGACGAGAGACCACTTCACAGCGAGCGTGTAAATGTGTGGTGCGCTATTTCATGACTTGAAATCATCGGACCATATTTCTTCGAAGAAGAAGGCGTTGCATTTACTGTGAACTCACACAGGTATACTAACATGATTCAGAATTTTTTTGAACCAGAGGTATTTTGAACATGTATGGTTTCAGCAGGATGGTGCCACATCTCATACTGCTCGGTTAACAATGACCGTTTTGCGGCAGATGTTTCCTGGCTAATTAATTTCTTGGGGAGGGGACATCCCCAGCACGATCCCCAGATCTCACTCCATGTGATATTTTTTATGGGGTTACTTGAAGGCCGAGGTGTTCAAACGTCGCCTCAGGAATCTGCCAGACCTGAAAGAGGCAATACGCCAGGAAATTCTGCGAATACCTCAAGCCATGCTCGAGAGAGTCCACGACAGCTTCAGAGTTTGTCTGCAGCAGTGTATCAACAGCCATGGTCACCATTTAACAGACATTCTTTTTAAAATTAAGTAAAAGTAAACTTCCCTTGTTAGAGAAAAGTAAAAAAAATAAAAACTGTTTTATCTTGAAAACCTGTTTTTTTATTTACGTTTAAAAATAGGGAGGTTATTTTGCCGCACCCTGTAGTAACTGTAGGAAAAAAATATATGTGTAACACAAGGGCAAACCGCCTTTGCTGCACTCGAGAAACTTTCTACACTCGCATACGGCTTGTGCGTAAATATTTATGTGGTGTGCAGCAACGCCCAATTGTTACACAATAGTTATTTGTGTAACTAGTGAGCAAAGTGGCACTTTGCTGCACACGAGAGCAATGTTTACGAATGATCTCGAATGCAGCAAAGGCCTTTTGCACTCGTTTTACACATTATATTTTTCCTACAGTCACTATAAAACATATAAATAATTAGTCTTTCAAACATTATACAACATGTTTTTTGGTTCAGCTGGCAACACAAATAGGTGCCCTAGAGAAAGTAGTCACCGGTCCATCACTCCGCTATTTTTCCACCGCAAGCAATGTTCTCCACGACTTGAGAAAATAGTTCCGTATGTTTTTGGAATTTGAAGTGGTTTCCGCGCCTAAAAAAATGCTTTAAGGTATTTTCTTGTTTATTAAGATCTTAGGAATGTTTTAAAAACGTTTAAAAGAAAAGTCCAGAAAATTCAGAAATACAGAAACTATAAACACAAAATGACAGGTTATATGGTAGTTATAATAGTAAATCAGCTGCTCTTAGTATTATTATCTTTAAGTGTTGCCAACCTATTTCCAAGCGTACACGGATTACGTGCATAATAGAACCACACTGTTTTGTGTTGTTTCGTTGGAATCCTGATGTGCGCCAAAGTATAAACCGTATGACAAAGTATAAATATGCAGCAATTTGCAGCTTTCTGTACTATAAACAGTACAAGGAAGCCAACTTTGTCCGACTGTAGGAAAATAACTATTGTGTACTGTGCTGAATTGCACAACAGCCAACTAGTTAAATTGTTTAAACTAGGAAAACAATATTTGCTTTTAGTGAATAATTTATTGTAGTCTTAAAAACTAAAATCACAGCAATTTTATGTGCTTCGAGTGTCGTTTAGGCTGAGGTTTTTCTTATAGCATTGTAGGCTACAAAGAGAGACGCCAGTTTTTGAGCAGGAATACCTTCGAGGATTTTTGCAGCCAAGTACAGCACATTTAGGTAAAGGGTGAGGAGATCTACACCTGCCAACAAATCAGAACAAGGTTAGTATGTAGGTACTCAAGCAAATAAAGTTAAGAAATAAACAAATATAAATTAATAATGTGCAGTAGAACTTTGATAATCCACCTTAAAAAAGCTGATCAGGCTTAAGTAGGCCTGATTTAGGATTGCGCCAGACCATCAAGATTCTTTTCAAATTAGTGAGTTAGAGTTAAGATCGAATAACTTCAATCTAAATTTGAAGTTTAAATTAAATGAAGAAAATTGATTTTTTAAACCTCTTTAGTGATGACTGTGACGATGTGTTTTTACCTTAAATTGAGAGCGTCGCTGAGAGCAACTATTCGTATAGTACGCATATATGCCGTGGCTGGTTAATTCGTCGGTATGTTCCAAAGGCTTCAAATTATCGATCGCCGGGAATTTTGCTCCGTTACTGTCAAAGGTCAGTTGTTTATGTATCACGACCGTGATAGTTGTCGTGACAATAATTTAATCAGGAATGAACTAAATTAAATAAGACTTTATTTAAACATGTCTTTTGTAAGAAGTCTATAACACTAACAATATTTGTTTACATCTCATCATAATAATCTAAATAAAACATATGTTTTATTTTGCAGTCTTTATGAAACATCCCCCTCCTTAAAGATCGAGTTTCCTTGGAGGATGTACTTCACGTCCGTGTCTCGTCTTGTAACTTGAGTTGTCCTCTCGTGGTTTTGGGCTTCTGGTACACACACTTGTTGAATTTCGTTCTGTCACATTGTCTGGTGAGGGTGTACTTTTTAAATTATCTGGAAATGGTAGAAGATGGAAACGGTTTCTTCTTAGGTCTTTTGTATCAGTCCTGACAATATATGATCGTGGTTCAGTTCCTGTTTTTACAACCGTTCCAGGTTTTCCCAAGTCAGATATCCAAACGCTGTCCCCAGATTTCAAACTTCCAAGAGATTTGGCAGCATGCCTGGAGTCATATTTCTCTTGTACTTTTCTCTGTAATTCCTCGAAGTCGAAGGCACACTTCGGACAACTTGTAGAAGGTTAAGCTTTTCAAAGGCTGTTTTACCTAGGAGCGGTGTTTTACATTTTCCTGCTACATAAAAACGTTCGAAACAAGATTTGTTCTTATACTCTAACTTTACATTTACCATCCCTCATACAGATAACTGAGTCCCATCCGGTCCTGAGAGTCTTTTACAAGTATGTTCCAATGGAACTTTTTTGTTTAGCTTGATATTAGCTGGCAAAACTGAAATGTCTGCTCCGGTATTGATTTTAAACTTAATAATGTCAGAATCATTAAACCTGAGGTCAATTACCCAAGATTCAGGGTTTAGAGAGCACTGTTTTCGGTAATTTTACCTATGAATTCTTCAGAATTTGATGAATTTGTACAAGATTGATTAAAAAACTGAGGTTCACTACTGACTTCATTAACCTTTTGCTTAGAACAAACTTGATAAAAGTGGCCGTTTGCTTTACAGTTGTTACACCGAACATTTTTGGCAGGACACAAGCCTCGGCGATGAGATGGCGTATTACCAAACCATTTACATAGGATCCCTGAATTAGATTTTCCATGGTTATTAGAAACAGTTTTGTTACAAAAAGACTTTTTGGAAGTGGTGTTTAATTTTACCCGATCAACGAAGGGATCAGCTAGGTCAAGTTTTTGCCTAACTAATGCAGCCTCTGAACTACGAAGAGCATCAACTGCAGATTCTAATTTTAGTGAGCTTTGTAACTGTAAGCGATCACTAAGGTTTTGACCATTCATTCCAACGATAAATTGTATGAGAATCATTTCATTCATTTCATCCCTTAAATCCCCCCAGTTGCATGGTTTTGCAAGAGTATGTAAGTCAGTGATGAAGTTTTCAGCAGACTCTGAGGATTGCTGTTTTCGTCTAAGAAATTTAGTACGCTGATAAATTATGTTTGTTTTGGGAAGGAAATGGTTTTCGAATTTCCCCATAATCAATTCATAAGTCTCCAACTCGTCAGGGATTAGATTAAAGCCTCGTTCACACGGTGCAAGTTTACAAGCTACTCGCCGGCGTGTAAGAAGCCGGCGAGTTGGCGAGTGTGCTTGTATTTGTTCACACGGAGCTTGTCCACTCGGCAACTCGCAAACGTGTAGAAAGACGTCGGCGAGTGCGCTTGTAGTCGTTCACACGATGCTTTTTCCACTCGCTAAGTAGCTGGCTCGAACCAAATCCTCCAACATCTTTGTGTAACATGCGCACAAGCACAAGCAACTGTGTTCACACTGGGCTACTTTACACGCCTACTCGCTCAAAAGCTGGCGAGTTGGCATGTAAAGTAGCGGCAGCGTCAACTTTTTCAAGAGCTTTTGAGCGAGTACTTCGTTCACACTGAGCTATTTTACTAGCTGCGTGTAAAAAAGCCGGCGTGTAGCTTGTAAACTCGGGGCTTAAAGGAATCAAATATTTCCTCAGCCTTATCCCCCGTACAGTAGCAAAGAATATCAACTTGCCTTTTCCCAGGTGCTTTATGTAGATCGCTGACTGACCTGTATCTTTCAAAGCGTTTCTTCCACGCACTCCAATCATAGGGGTTGAAGGAAAAATTGTCTGGAGGCTTGACATGGATTTGATTTCTTTGAAGTCTGTTCTCTTCAATTTCTTGTTGGATCTGTAGGTTTACATCACGCTGCGCCATGTATCACGACCGTCGATAGTTTTCGTGACAATAATAATTAGGAATGAACTAAATCAATAACATTTTATTTAAATACATGTCTTTTGTAAGAAGTTTATAACAAGAATAATATTTGTTTACATCTTCATCATAATAATCTAAATAAAATACATGTTTTATTTTTCAATCTTTATGAAACAATTTAAATTTCAATTCTTTGTTTCTTTGAGCGCAATGAGGCTGTGACTGACGACAAATTACGTTTGCGCTGTTGTTTGATTTGAATCAAAGTTATTTCTCAAGTTAGTACATGTAGTGTTTAATTTGTATATAGTTATTGTGTAGTTTTTAGTTATTTGTTTGAGAAAACCAAAACAAATCCAATATGAAGTGCATTATTGGTGAATGTTTTACATAGCTTAGACAGTAAACTATGGGTCGGGATAACTTTGCAGGAGATAAGGAAAGGCTTTTGTGCCTCGATAAGTGATATTTCCTTTAGCACATTTAGTTATATTGATAAATAAAAGGAATTTGATTCAGCCACCTCGGGACCGGACCACTGGCCGGACTACAAGATGGCCGGACTAACAGGATATAGTAGAACCTCAATTATCCGGGCTAATGGGGGGAGGGAAATGAATGAAATGAAATGAAAATCCTTCTTTATTGAGGCGAACTTAGGACCTCATGGTCCTTTCGCCTTTCTTACAGTTAACCTCTAAAAAACTAATGATAACAACAAAATAATAACAAAAAATACAACACAGTTTGTAACAAAACAAGTTATAAAATATCATAATTTATTTTATCTTCCCTAACATACATTCACACACACACACACACGAACACCCTCTGTTGCATCTAGGCCTAACGCACGCCATCCCGCCAAGCCACGGCCATCCGGTCAAGGTAATATCCATTCAGCGTCACCATCAGCCGGGATCGGTTTTCTATAGATTTAATATGAAAAGGTATGGAGTTCCATAGGCGGCATGCTGTTACTAAAAATGATTTGTTATAAACAGTTGTTCTGTGATGAGGAATGCGAAGCGTGGACGAGCCAGAGCGGGTATCCCTTGCGCCTCTTTCATTCAAAAATTTAAAATTCTTTGCAAGATAATTTGGAATTCCAAGATTGATGGCCGAATGAGTAATGGAAAGTATTCGTATTTTTCTGATGTCTTCTAATTTCAAAATTGATTCATTTATGTAATAGGGTGTGACATGGTCATCACGCCTAAGATTGAACAAGAATCGAACACAATAATTTTGTACACGTTGTAATTTTGTTGCCAAAACCACAGTCATATCATTAACCACAGTGTTGCAGTAGTTGAAGTGTGGCAACACGAGTGATTTGACCAGTAAGAGATTAATGTGAAAAGGTAGAAGTCGTTGCATCTTCTTCAGCGTGTGAACAGCGGCAAACACTCTTTTACAAGTGCTTACCACCGCGTCAGTCCAGTCCAATGTTCGGTTTAAAGTCAAACCAAGACTTTTTACTTTGTCCTGGTATTGCAAAGTGGTTCCATTTACAGTGATTTTGGTAAAATGTCTAAGTCCACTTTGTTGAGTAACCGTGAGTGACCTATGATGATTGGCTTTGTCTTGTCAGGATTGAGTCTAAGTCCATTCCTTTCTGCCCATTGAACAATTCTGACGATGTCATGGTTCATCAATTGTATAGTTTCATTTGCATCGCTCACTTTAAAACGAGAATAGATTTGCAAGTCATCAGCGTACAAATGAAACTTTACATGGTGTAGAACTGTACTGATGTTATTGATGTAAATGGTGAAAAGCAGAGGAACAAGAATTGAACCCTGGGGAACTCCGCAGGGAACATGTCTCCAGTCGGACGTCAAGTTGTCATGACACACACACTGCTTTCGGCTCTGAAGATATGATCTCATCCATTTTAGTGAATTATCAGAAAAACCTAAAAGTTGGAGTTTAGCTAGAAGAATGCTATGGTTTACGGTATCGAAGGCTTTACTGAAGTCAAATAATGTTAAGATAGTACATTGGCTGCGATCCATAGCAAGTCGTATGTCATCAGTTACATGAAGCATTGCTGTTTCAGTGCTGTATGATTTACGAAAACCTGATTGAAAGCTATTGAGGATGTTATTTTGTGCCAAATCAGAAACTTGAGAGTGAATGACTCTTTCTAGTGCTTTAGAAAGGGCGGGAAGAATGTTAATTGGTCTGTAGTCTTGCGGGAGAGATGGGGATGAGATTTTATTCAAGGGACGGACAAGCGCAGACTTCCACTTTTCTGGGAAAATACCTGATCTTAGTTAAGTATTAAATATGAAAGTTAATGTTGGAAGGAGAGCAAACAAGATTCGTT